CCCCAAAACCCCAAAACCCCAAAACCCCAAAACCCCTTTAAAATTTTATTTTATAATTAAATGGAAAGAACTAAAGCTGGTCAATCTGGAGGCATCGATATATTCATACCAAAGTTAAATAGGGTAAGTAACTGCCAGCCTCATGTCCAGAAAAAACTTTAGCGGAGCCTTTCCTGCTCCACAGTAATACAGCCTATATAAGTTTACTAGGATTCGACTTTAGGATGACTCCTTCAAATTTCAGAAGAAAATTTTCAGATTTCTACTATTCCACTCAGACTTTGTATTTTAAGTCTAGCATAGAGATTTAGGCTAAATCTTGAGTATTAATGAGAATATAGCTCTCAAAAATAGCTAGACCTAAGAGTGAAGTCAAAAAATCAATGCTTCACAAAGGAGCAGTTACAAAGTCAAAGGAAGCAAAACTTAAGAAATATTTTAAAATTACAAGAGATATTAACCCTGATTGACCTCTTGTACCAGGGATTTATTCGCTGTATGCTCTTGCTAAACTGGCTAAATAAACAAGTTGTCAAAGCAATGATGCCTCCTACGGTGTTATTAGGGTTCAACCATGATAATATGTTCATATACACTTCAGCAGCTACAAAATGACTTACTGTCGAGAATAGACCAATGACTCCAAAGCTGCTTACACATTATGTAAAAACTTACATGGATAGAAAATAATGATGAAGAAAGTAAAGGTTTGAACAATTCAATAAAAATGAGCGTCTACCCAAAATTTGTGTTAAAATACAGCACGTATGATAATTAGTTTTCCTTCAACTCAATCAATCATGGTGTTCTATAAGATTCAAGATCTATGAACTCACGCTCTCGAGTACTGGGGTAAGTTCGATATGGCTATTCAGCCTTATATTATCTGCAAATCAAGAAAGGCTTCTCTGCTTCGTTATGAAGTTTACAAAGAGAATATGGTAAAAGCTCATGTTCTCTCGAGTGATTATGACATCTCTGAACTACCTTATCTCCCCAAAGACGAGATACTCAATGTACGGAATGATTACATTTACCAAAGGAGGGGAAACTCCGAAAATGAGAGAGAAAGATCAGATATTCCTTTAAGCCAAGCTCCAAACAGCGATCTCATCAATTACTTTTGAATCACCACTCAAAGTAATATCCCAAAAGTGGCAATCACTTCTTGTCGGCCTTTGGCTTATCCAAACGCTGAGTCAATGTCAACCAGGCTAGTAAACTCCCTCAACTCAAACTATCTCCACAAGAAATTTCGTGCGAATTCCTGGATAATAGGCAAGCTCTATGCTAACCTGTAGACTTTATCGAGTCAATCGATGGAATAACATACTTTCTCCAAATAAAATCATTCAACGTAGACCAGCTCTCTGTTTCAAAATAAAAAGATGCTTTTCACAAGAAGAAAGAGTGCAAATCCTATGATCAAAATCTTCCATAATGAAATTTCTAGTTCGTACTCAGTAACACCCAAGATTAACTACTGAAGCTGATCAATATTTTGAGAGGCATTCCAAGGTAAGACTCCTGCCATAATTTATAGAGAGTGGAGGAAAGCTCCAAGATGAAGTTGTCAACTTCTTCAAAACTATCGGGCATGTAAAATACGGTATTTTATTGACTTATTTATATTTAGAACTCGCTAAATCCAAGTTTCCTAAATCAGAGATTTTGAAGAGCAATAACTACTCCATACAGAAAAGCCTTAAAGATAGTTATATCAAGGATTACAAGAAGATGATGTCCAGGAGTTTTTACACAGAGTTAGCTAAAAGTAACCCTGCCTACACCCAGAATAGTTATGAAGATTATCGGTATATCTGTAATAAGCTATACCCCTTACTCTTTATCTCTTCAAATATTGAGACATCTCACAAAGTGGTCAGTCCTTGTTTTAAACCAAGGAAAACAACTTTTGGGAGACTCACCTTTGCTAATATGACTAATAAGTCAAGAGCATTATCTTTTCCAAGACAATCAGTAGATCATCTGGTGGAATCCCCAAAATACACCCCAAAGGTTCAAAGTGGGAGAGACAAGATTATTAAATGATGCTATACTTGCTTCGTAGCCTTGAAAATGTTGTACATGAATAGAAATAAAGTCCTCAGTTTTCAGACTCCACAGACGAAAGCATTCATATACTCACTTTCTCAAAAACAAGCAAAGAAATGGACAATAGGTAAAAATTAGCATTAGTTACTCTTTAGATGATTTCAAGAAACTTGTCAATTTCTATCTCCTCAGAATCCAAACTATTAACTCTTACGAGTCATGGGCTCCACAGAAAGCCAGAGCCAGGACTCCAAGAAGCAGGAAAATTAGTGGGCTTTCCTTCATGATAAAACGAGATAAACTTCAAAAGAGGACTGCTAGAACCAGGAATGTTTCCAACAATACTACTCGAAGAAACACCCCTACCAGGAGCCTAGATTTACAACAAGGAAGAAATTTCCCTCCTATGCAGGGTATTCGAAGAACAGTTCATACAAAAATAGCTGATACTGCATCTAAAAATACAGTTATGGATGACTCCGTTTCAAAGATAAGCTTTCCTGTTGAATCAAACTCTCGAATGGAGACCAGTCATAATGAAAAAGGTAGGATATCATTCAATGTTTAGATTTCTACCTCCAAAATGAAAACCTAGATAACTTCGTAACTTCTTTGGCTAAAGAGAAAGAAGACTCAGTCCCTTCTCCGAAGTTTGGGTGCTCAATGATTCGCAAGGAAGACCAGAGCAAACTAGACAAAGGCCGGTAAAGCCAGATTTTAACTTTCTAGCCACAAAGTTAGAAAATCTCGGAGTAAAAAGAACAGTAAGAAGCATAAGAAAAGTTTGATTATTAACAGTAATTTCAAGCTGATCTTGTAGGCCCATCTTTTGAAAATCTGTATGATCCCAATATGGAATGGCATAAGCCAAACCATTTTTGGGATAAAATAATCCAAATGAACCAGAGAGCTCTCAGAATTGCTAGAAGAAGAGAAGGGAAATCAAAGAAATCATCAAAAAGTAGATCGAAAAGCAAGTCAAAGAGTAGGTCTAAAAGTAGATCAAAAAGCGCAAATAAAAGAAGCAAGAGTAATAAATATAACAAAGATATCTCTGATTCATGCTCTAACCTTAGGAGTAACTCTCTGCTTATAATTTAGGAACAAAAATGGACCCTCTTAAGGGTCAGAAGAAGAGCCAGATCCTTGAAAGAATCAAGGGCTTCAACAAGGGGAAACTAAAGCAGATGGATAACTTCTTTGCCTCTTAATCAGCCTTCAATAATACCATTTTTGAGTGGGGTTTTGGGGTTTTGGGGTTTTGGGGTTTTGGGG